CACCACAAATCCCATCCTTGTGTCACCATGCCGCTGGCTGCCTCCTAGTCCGGGAAATGCTGGCCCCTTTGGTTGAGCCCCTGTGCCAGGAGGGAATGAATTCCTGGAGGCAGGAATTGTGGCTTCATTTTCCCTGGATCCCCAGGGCTGGCATAGCTCCAGGCAAGCTCAGAGGCAGGCTCCCACACACACTTTAAATGTATCCAGCATGACAGAGAGGCCCAGGCTCCAGGCAAACTCTGTGGCAAAAGGGTAGACCGTCAGGGAAGCCAAGCAAAGAAAGGGAGGTGGGAGTGCCCAGGGCCTTGCCCCAGGAGAGTGGTGCAGGTGGGTGTGGCGCAGGGGTCTCCTAAGGCCAACACATATTCAGAGCACTGACCAGGTGAATGGCAGAGAGAGGGCAGAGAGCAGAACAGGGAATGAAGGAGCGCCATAGGCACAGGTGGGTCCCTTCCACAGACCAGGCCAGAGCAGAGCCTTGAGGCCCACGATGCAGCGAGGAAAGGCAGAGCTTTCAGCTCGAGGGAGCCCATGGACAGGAAATTCCTGGCCGCCACTGAAGACCCACCGTTCCTGCTCATGGACACGACCGAGTGAGTTTGGAAGTTCTGCCAACATGGAGACACGGATGTGTCTCCTGAAAGTCTGTCTGGCGGGGAGTTCGTGAGGATCTCCAGACGGGCCCAGGTCCATTTTGTTGTCTACACCAACATCTTCATTGTTCTGGAACTTCCAGGGGTCAATCCCTAGTGTTACGAAGGTGGTCCTCAGCACAAATGCAGCCCCACAAACCTCTCTGCCCATTTCTAAAGCATACCATGCTCTTTCTTCCTTGAGGGTCTTGGCATTGGCCGTGCCTCTGCCTCCAGCACCATCCACTCCCTCTCTAGTCAGGGCTGGTGCCTGCCCACTCTGCAGACCTCAGGTTACCTGGTTGGCTCTCTCATCCCAGTATTTCCCATCCAAGAGGGCTGCCTGGGTTTGCAGTTGTTGGTGTGGTGGTTATTGTCCGGTTGTCTGCCTCCAGTTGTAATGAAAGTCTGTGAGAGCAGGGATCAGGCTCGAGCTGTCCACCCTTCTCTTGCTGGCACCCAGCATCACGCCTACGACATGGGAATGAATGAATCAGCCCACAGCGTGTTGCACCAGAGCATGAATAAGGCGTATCTAAAGGGATTAAAATCCAACAATTTGCTCTCCTGCAGCACAGGGCACTTCCACCTATTTGGATAAGCAAACCCGAGCCAGGGGCAAGTACCAAAGCATGAAAAAACAGATCAAAGCTCACTGCAACCAATTCCAAGAGTTTGCCCTGACCCTTCTTCCCCTCAATAGTCAGGCAGAGTCTTGTAAAAGATCAGAACATATGTAGTTTCAAAACCACACACACCCACGTACAAGTGTAACCATTAGGCTCAGTTCTTCTCCATCAGCACGAAAGAGAGTGACGTCCCCTGCTGGCATTGCCGTGAAAATTGACTTAGAGCAGTGTTTCAACCAAGGGTGATTTTGCCCCTCAGGGGACATTTGGCAAATGTCTGAAGACATTTCTGATTGTCACAATAAGGGTACAGCAACGAGGGATACTGTTAAATGTCCTACAAAGCACAAAACAGCCCCTACTCGGCTCCAAATGTCAGCAGTACTGAGGCCCAAAAACACCAAGTCAGAGAGGTTGCAGCCATACAAGAAGTCGTCATATCCTCCATTTTCCGTGACTGGGGCCATCTGCAGACACCCGTGAGGGGTCTTTCAGCCTTGTCTGAATCCTCCCTGAGAGCTCCTCCTCAAGGAATACCTGTCGTCTTCGTCTGTGCAAGCTGCTGGGGCAGAATACTATAGACGGAGTGGCGTAAGCACAAACACTTACTCCTCACAGTTCTGGAAGCTGGGAAGTCCAACATAAAGGCACCAGCAGATTCATGTCTGGTGAGAGCCTACTCCCCAGTGCATCGATGGCAGCCTTTTTGCGGTGCACCCCCATGGTGGAAGGGGTGAGGGAGCTCTCTGGGGTCCCTTTCATGAGGGCACTGATCCCATCACAAGGGCTCTACCTTCATGACCTCATCACCTCCCAAAGGTCTCCCCTCCAAATACCATCCTATTGGAGATTAGAGGGCGTGTGTGAGGGGGTGCAAATATTCAGTCTACAGCACCTGTCTTCCACTTGCTATTAAAGTCCTTCTCTCACCTCTACATTCCAATCTGCCCACCAAGAAGCCGCCACCTGGTATCCTGGCTGTCAGTCCTGTTTGCTCCTACCACACAGATGGCCCACAGCAGCACCATTCAGCCTGCCTGTGGCTGAGGCTTTCTCGCACAACACTGCCACTTCCTCCAGTCCTCCTTAGGCCATAGCACAAAGCATCGCCTCCTAAGGACAGAACTTGATTCATGACAAACGAGAGGGCTTTCCAGGCAGGCAAATCCAGGGTCCTCATTATAGGGCTTCTACCTAATTGTCTGGCTTTGCTCATTTGCAAAATGGGCACAACCAACTGCAAGGATCAGGCTCTCCCTGTGCATCTGAGACATGGTATGTGACATGTTGCATGTTGGCAATAAAATGCCCTTTTTCCCCTTCACCTCAGAGCTTAGTCAAGGCCTGAGAAGTTGACTGCTAAGTCAAACTCTCTTCAATGGAATGGTTTTTGTTTTCTGATCCTTGAGAGCCAAGACTATTGCCAGGTAGAGAGGCAACAGGCTTCAAGGGGTATATTTGGAGGAGCACATTTTCTTCCTAAGATATCTTTCCATTTCACTGCTCTCCCCCACACAGAGCTAAAGGGGTTCTCCTTCCCTCAGCAAAGGCCTGGCAGCACGGATTCCCCAACTCTCCTTATTCCGATCACCCCTCCTGAGAATGAGCCCATCCCTTGTGGCGAGCGCTAGGCTACCTGGGAAAGTACCATTGCCAGGTCTGCACCCCATCTGTAGCTGCTTGAAATGGTGTGTTCACATCCTACAAAAACAAAGGGCCTCACAGCTCTTCAGACTCCTGGACATAATTTCCAGGACACGTAGTGACTCCAGAAGGAGAATGTCAAAGGGGGCTGGCGACTCGGGGAGCAGGCAGAACTCCACTCACCTCCAGCTACTGAGGCAAGTCCGGCAGACTCAGGGCCATAGACCCAGCCAAGTGTGGGCTCCCCAGGGCCTCCTTCACCTCATTCACAGCCCACTTTTTATGAAGCTCGTGCAGAAACATCAAGAGGGGAGAACAGTACTGAGAGACAGGTTAAGGGTACACCTGTTTCATATGTTGGGAGGCCACCCAGGATGGCACACAGGTCCCTTTGTTCATAGTCCCAGTCTCCATGGAGGCCAGAGGACAATGATATTCTAGCCCTGAATGAACCAACTAACAAGGCGTGCTTTCGAGCAGACTTCACCTGTCGGTTCTATTATAGTGTTGGGTTGCCGAAGGTCCCAGTTCCTCCCCTCAACCCACCCCCACCAAGGGCCTGAGGAGAGGCGACATGGGAACAAGCAGAAGACACGGCAAGAGCGCGAGTGGCTTACTCTGAAGATCTTGCTAAGATGTGCAGCTGTCTGCGCAAAGACAGGGAGCCATCCTAGCAGGCCTCAAGGAGAAGGGAGCTAATGATTTAGGAGGAGAAAGCAGAAGGCTCTAGCAGACACTAAGCCAAAAACACAGGAATGGCCACATTTGAAGAGGCCAGCTGACGGGAGCAGCTGCAGAATACTTTATTTCAGTGACTCAGAGTTTTACCACTTCTGAGAGACCAGTCACAGCTATGTCTGATCAGCCTTAATCTGTAAAACATAGCCCAGAAACTGGCAGAGAGAAACAGACACTATCTTCACAGGGCTGACTGATACCAGGGATGGCGTGAACCCATGGAGCACACTGGGTTCTAGGGAGGAGGAGATCTGCTCTGGCCCCCTTCTGCCCCTCACTGTCCCCATCTGTGACATGGGGACAGGCACTCTGCCTGGCTTATCTATTGTGAGGATCAGAGTAGAGGATTCAGAAAAGAGAAACCTTTAAATACTGAAGGACTAGGAATTAACCCTCCGCAGATGGAAGTTCTAGTATCATTTCTTCTGGAAGCTTCCCAGGTCCTCCTTGATCCAATCAATTCTCGCCATTAGCTCTCATAGTACTGTGTCACCCTCCCTCAAAACACATCATGTTGTCATCTTGCATTTCTCCATTTGATTCTCTAGTTAGTATTTTTCACACGTGAGAACGTAAATGCCAAGCAGGCAAGCAGCTGTGTCCATTCTGTGCTTGGCACTTTTTGTTCTTACCACGGCCTCCTGGTGCAGGTCAAATGCCTAAACAAATGAATGAGCACAAGCTCCATGGCGCTGGAGAGAAACTACAGCAAACGGCCCCAATCGTGTCCACTGCATCATTCGGAGGAAGGTGTCCTCAGGCTTGATAATCGACTGGACGCCTCTCTGAGACCATCACCTCTTCCTGAAGTTTAGCAAGTTAATGAAGGTGGCCGCTATTTATTCCATTGTGGGGGGAATCTTCCCTTACCTAAAAACCCCTGAAATATATCAGGCGGACATCCTGAAACACCTAGTGATTGTATGAGATGTGCTCTAAAAGGGAAAGAGAAAGAAAAAAAAGAACTGGTTTTACATTTACAGTTTCCAGCAATCCCACAAAAAGCAAAAGGCTGAAACGGAAGTGTCAGGTGAGTTTTAAAAGAAACACGGATACAGTAAGTTAAACACTACTTTGTGCTGCTGGCACAATGCGCGGCAATAATTAATCCTTAATTACGCAGAAATCTAACCATCGATGGCCCTCTAATTAAGAGTCCAGTGGTTTCCAGCAAGCACACACCACTGTTACTATATCCATTGGCAAGAAGCAGGAAACCATGCTTTGTGCTCTGCGGCCACGTGTTAGTGCTGACTCCATTTTCTCCAAAATTTTGAGCAAAAAAAGTTCACAGAACAGGACTTTTTTTTTTCTTTTCTTTTTTTGCTCCTTGTCCCAGGTTGAATTTCCCCTCTTTTCGTCCTGAGCTTTGGAAAATGGCATCATTAACTTGGTTACATACCCATTTGGCAGGGGAACAGGTGGGCAGCACGGAGGTAATGGTGCTAGAATGAAGAGAACAGCAAAAAGTAAATTGTTTAAAGGCCCCAGATGATTAAACAATTACTCTCTTTGTAGTTCATATTTTAGAGTAAATAGCATTTACCCTTGACTGCATTTTTTTTTTTTTTTTTTTTTTTTGTCTCAGAAACTCGTCTGCCTCTGCCGGCTGTGCGTGGGTCCCCTTTCTCCCCGATGAAATTTTATCCCTCCAGGAACTCTTTTGTGAGCAGAAGCTGCTGATCTCTGGCCAAATGAAAAAGGCCTGCACTTTCTGCTCCTCATCCTGCATCAAGCTCTAATTCCCAAACACGACATCCTTTGCCTGATAGCCGGAGACACTCCATTGTTTCTCTCTGTGCACTAATTCAGAGGTTTTAACTCCTTCATTCAGTAAGATTTACCAAGGTTGCTGACAACGTGGCCTCCCATTTCCAATGGATTTCCAGCCTCCAGAAGCCATTTGTGATTCAGCTCCCCACTCTGATGCCCGCACCCTCGAAGCTTCCGCGTGTTGCTCACCATGAAGTAACCATAGCGCATGCGCATGAAGCCGATGTCCCATGTCTGGGAAGTGTTTACATCCCGAACTTCTAAATGGGAGTTTGGGGAGGGCGACTGGGTGGCTCAGTTGGTTAAGCGACTGCCTTCGGCTCAGGTCATGATCCTGGAGTCCCAGGATCGAGGCCCGCATCGGGCTCCCTGCTCGGCAGGGAGTCTGCCTCTCCCTCTGACCCTCTTCTCTCTTGTGCTCTCATTCTCTCTCTCTCAAACAAATAAATAAAATCTTTAAAAAAAATCATTAAATGGGAGTTTGGGGAGTTGGGAACTAAATGTGGCCCACGTGTTGCTGAGATGTGAACCAATCTGAAAATTGTAATCAGAAACGATGAAGCATGTATGTGTAGGTTTGTGATAACAGACACTCATGACTGGGTGGGGCAGGGGGTTCTTTTTATTGAGACAAAAAATGAATTGTGGATTGACTGACAGCTTCTCCTAAAAGCGTTAAGTGAGAAAAGTGTCATAAATTTGGACCACGTTCAAGTTCCAACACAATTAGGGGCAGCCCTCTAAATCTAGCAAAAGTGGGATATCAAACTGCAATAAGGCCAATTCTTGCAATCTATTCCCCTCCAGGCAAAGGAATCTTGATTCCAAGACTCAGATGACTGTACCTCCTCAAGGTCTCTATCTGCACTAAGAGGGGATCTTTATCTCCAATCTCTTCCTCGAGATGATAAATGGATTTATTGAGTATGCTGAAGTTCATGCTCTGGAAGGAGAACTTGATTCATGTGAGTCCACACACTGAAATAAATAGACCACATAGAAAATACAGTGGGCTTTGAGCCCAAGCTTCACTATTTATACTGAGATGGGAAAACAGCAGTGGCGGCGGCACCTGGGGCTTGGTAGAAATGCAGGTTCCTAGGCCCCAGCCCAGACGTCCTGAATCAGAATGTGCATTCTAACAAGACCCCCATTTGGAACATGCTGCTCTAAAAAGTTTCTGCAACCAATGCTGGGGAGGTTGCAGTTCATTTCTGGTCCAGACCACCAGCTCCTAGCCCTTATGTGGGCTATAATGACAATGGGTTCATCTGCCCTCTTTCTAGGAGGTCCTCAATAAATAGGTTCTGAATGAATGATTCTTCTTCTCTGTGCTCTGTATGCACTGGACTGTCCAATTCTGGCTTCAGGAATCATATTCCTAACCTTTGAAGTTTGCTTATTAGTTGCTGGCTTGTTCTCAGGTCAACCTGTGAAGGCCTAGTGTTTGTAGACTAATCTCAGGATTAGAAGCATTGTGCAGCAACCACAGTTCCGATGGTGAGCCCTGAGGCAAAATTTCCACTTTCACTTCAGCCCTGTGAATTTTCTTCTTTTTTTTTTTTAAGATTTATTTATTTAAAACAGAGAGACAGAGAGAGCATGAGCAGGAGGGGCAGAGGGAAAGGGAGAGAGAAACTCAAGAGTACTACACAGTGAGGGCGGAGCCAGTTGAAGGGCTCGACCTCATGACCCTGAGATCACAACTTGAGGGGAAACCAAGAGTCAGATGCTTATCCCCACCCCATGAATTTTTAAACCTCTTTTACTAGCAAGAATCACTTTCTGGCTGCTATGAAAAGCCCAGAGTGCAGAGCCAGGGCACATCCTGTGTTAACACTATTAAACTTCCCCCAACAGAGCTATGACCCAGCCTGTGCCACACTATTAAACTTCCCTGTCCTGCCACTGACTACAATCCGACTGTGATCATTTTGTCCCAAGCATCAATAATAATGGAACACAAAGTAGACTCTCCTGCTTCCTCAGCCCCACTTTTCAAGTGGAGTGGATGTGTCTTTTTCTAACCAGACTTGGCTTTGCTGCAGGTCATCATAAAACAAAAGAAAAATAAATACCACCACCACCACCACTACCACCTGTCTCGAGATATTGAAAGGGAGGCAGGGAATGTGAAATAAAGAGAATGTTTAGGGCAAATATGATGGTTGTTTCATCCTTTTTTTATTTCACCTTTGGGTGCATGAGCATCTCCAAGAAGACACCCGTTACCTTTAGTTCCATCTTTTCTAACGCCACATACAGAGGGTGAGAGGGCCTCATTACTTTCCTCTCCAAGTTTGGAGTTGGCCTACCCCCCACACCGAGCCCCCCCAAGGGTTTGCTTTAGCTCTGCCCTCCCTGAAGGCCACTTCCTGTGCCAACTCCCCTTCCCCAAAATGGCCCCCTCCACATGCCACTCCCTCCCCCAATACAGCTGCTCACTTACTATCATCTTCACTTATTCACATACCCTCAGAATGTCTCTTTACTTTCCCATTTATCCCAACTGGGAGTCATGGTGACCCATGGATTTAAGGGTTAGATGCCAGTGGCTTAAAACCCATCCTGTCTCTTGCTTGTCAAATGATAGTGGATAACTCATTTATCACCTTTATGCCTCTGTTTCATCCTCTGTTGAACGTAAGGAGTAGTATATATAACATAGGGTTGTTCTGCCCATTAAAAAAGTAGGCCCATATCAGGTACATAGGATAATGGTCAGTGCATAATAACTGCTCCCATACCATCCACCAGGCCCTGCTACCGGGGGTCCTGAGGAGTTTCTATGTATCAGGCCTGTCAAGAGAGGAGGAGGAGAGGCTTATGGGAGCCCACCTCCCTCATATGTGAGATCAGACGCAACTCTTTCTCAATCCTGTAGCTTCCCCAACTGTCACAGAAAATACACAAAAGTTGGAGCCATCTTGAAAATCAGTGAGTGGACTTCTAAGACCTTGGGGAGGGGGAAGTATTATAGAGAAAAGAGACACCAATTTTCCAACCAGACAAATCCAAGCCAGACAAGCTGTGTGACCTCAGGCAAATCACTTGAGCTCTCTAAGCTTCCATTTCCTCATTTGTAGAATGGTGATAAACATGGCTCCTTGCAGAGGTTGCAGTGGGATTAAATAAATGTGTTTAAACATCTAAAACAGCAGATACATAATTGGGGATAAACAAGTGAGAGTCTGTCGTCTCTCCTGCCTTTTCATAAAAGATCAGGGAACATCGACATTGAGGAGGCTGACATCATAACCTGCTCCTCAAGCAGTGACAGCTACTCCTGAGCCATCAGCACAGGAGTGATCACTTGAGCTGTTCATTAGCATAAATATTCCACAACAATGTCATTTTAAAGCTCCCAAAAGAGCACCTGTTATCTATCCCACAAATTGGGCCTTCCATGGCATAAATCATCAAGAAGCACTTCCCATGTGTCTTAAATGAAGGAGTGCCATTCCAACCAATAAAGCAAATAGTAAACAAAGCAAAAAACAGACAAAGCACAGAAACACCCCACGCTGTGACTTTAATAGTTGATCAATTGCAGATCAAGAGCTTTAATTTCTCCTTAGCATTGGGTTGACAGCAGGAGCTGAGTTCCCACTCATTTAGATTTGATTACTTTGGGGAAATACAAAGGCTCCATTCATCAGACCTCGGCCAATAAACACCCTCGAGCTTGGGACTCTCTCCCAGAGAAAGATCCAGAAAATAGACCACACCACAGAGCTGCTAAATGACCCCCAGAGAGCAGGGCTGTATAGTGACCATCAGCCCACCACACAGCTAAGTTGTGAAGCCGATTCTGTTTCCTTGAGTAGGTCATGAGTTATCTGAGTGTACAGGACATGCTCAGTCTTTGGCAGGATCCAGACCCAACCAAGTTTGCTTAATTAATTTCCTCAGACAAACAAGTGGTGGTCGAGCCAAACTGCCTCACTACTCAAGTTCCTTTGCTGACCATCATATGAAGGTTATGCATCTCTAATTCCACCAGGCTCAGTTACTTCCTACCTTCTCTGAGTCCTCCTCTGATATTTTACAGAAATACATAATAGTAATTATAATAATAACCCACACTCTTCCAGTCCTCCCAGAACTCTTTCTAGGACACATTCATGGCCCATTTCATACGATAGCATCTATGCCCTTACTTGAGGACAATGAAGACACTGTCATTGTACAAGACTGAGAGAGGATGAGGGACATGGAGACACCATGTCCACCTGAGTCTAATAGAGCAGACCTGAATCATGGCTCTGCCAGGTAATGGCTGAATGGACTTTTACAAATGATTTAACTTCTCCATAAAATGGTACAGTACTATCTATCTCTTAGTCTATTCATTGTTTTCTACAAATACTATGGAGTGCCTTATTTGCCAATCATGGATCTAGGCACTGGGGATTGAGCAATGAACCAGACAGACATGATTCCTGATCCTGTTCAAGTGAGGTATAGAAAGATCGCCTCTTTAAAGGTGGCTAGTCCATGGAAGTAACTCAACTCAATAAATATACAGTTATTTCCTTTGTAATGCCCAGGACCAGGCCTTGACATCTAACACCTGCTCTATAAATGAGAGAATAAAGTAAGTAATTGCTTCTAAATTAGCCAGAGCCAGATCCAGCATACTTTAAGCAACACGATCATCTCTCTGCCTAGTTAAGTGTAACTCAGTCTGACGATCACATCATGTCCCAGTGCCTTCATGGGGCTGTACTGAGCTCAAGGTTCAGAGAATATCTAGGAGAATGGATCATATTCTGCTAGGCTGGGGGGAGAATGAGATGTAAACAGCTCAATATAATTGCCATATGATATGCACATAAAGTTAGACAAATGTGCAAGACTCGACAGAGGAAGGAGCAAACTCTCAAGTTAGAGGTGGCCTTCCCCAAGGTGGTCACACCTGAGCCGGTATGACAGAGGGAGGAGCTTTGTTACTGGATGTTCACAACACTCTGCTCATTCAACACATGCTCATTGAAAGACTGTATGTGCCCAGCTCCATGCTAGGTTCTCTGAAGGCCAGTTCAAAGTCAGAGGCTCTGTCCCAAAGAGAATCTATACAGCATAAGCAGGTCTGTCCCAGAGGGCTGTGACGAGCTCGGCAGTGCTCAGAAAGTGGTATACCTAGAGTAGTCAGGGAGGGCCTCTTGGAAGAGGGGGATGCGGATCTTAAGGGGAGAGCAATATTGAAGCAAGGTGAGAGGGGAGATACACTGGCAAGAGGGTTGCATTTCCTACCTTACTTGGCCTGGAGTTTTTTCTCTTAGGCATGACTTCAAACGTGAACTATCACCTCTGTGGAAGAATAGAACCAAAGCAGGAAATGACCACTGAGAATAGCTATTTTGTGCCTCAAAGGGCGAGGAGCAGCATGCTGAATGGCCTTCAGAAGCAGGGCAATGCTTAATATTGGGCAGAATACAGATGCCAGACAGACTGGTCCCGGGTTGCTGGAGGAGCAGGCTACCTGGGAGGTGGCAGTCCCCAGGCCTCGCCAGCAGAGAGAAGCCATGACAGGCCCTAGTAGGGGCCCAGAGATGGCAGGGGATGCACGCGGTGGGTCCTGGCCCTCCCTTCCTGACCAAAGACCATGAATTACAAGCTGCCTGGCTAGAGCCAAGGCCAGCGCTGAGCAAAGCAAGTTACCTGGGTCCAGGCCGAAGCCCTGCTGCCTTTCTACCTTCCTCTACTTGTCAGAGGCCTTTCAGCTTCCAGCAGCTGTACCTTTAAGAGGGGAGAGGAGAGAGACCAAAAGGGTGATGGGTCAAGGACCAAATCGAAAAACAAAGTGCTGAGCTCTAAACTTCCCCCGGAGTCTCTGTATTTTTCACCTCCATCCCCAAATATCTATCATCACTAATAAAACCTTCATAACACTATCAACCAAAGAGTAAAATTCAGCGACAGAGACAGGCCCTCTGTGGGCTGTGAGCATGAGTACTGGCAGGAGAGGGGCACGGCACCCAAGGGAGGAGGGGTGAGGGGCTGGAAGGCCTTGGAGGAAGGCTGAGGCCTGCAGTAAAGGAAGGAGCCCCTCTCCATCTTTCCCCCCAACAGCATCTTTGCCCCAGGCTCTTCAAATTCCTTCAATTAATCTCCAATCTTGAACAATCTGCACTTGATAATGTGGGGGAAGGGGACTTGACAATGGTTCTGAGCTGAATTATGTCCCCAAAACTTAGATGTTGAAGTCCTAATCTCTAGATAGGGCTTTCAAAGAGGCCATTAAGTCACAATAAGGCCACTTGGGTGGATTTTCATCCAATATGACTGGTGTTCTCACAAGAAGAGATTAGGACACAGCAGAGACACCAGGGACGCGCGCGCGCACACACACACACACACACACACACACACACACACACGAGATCATGTGAGGACACAACACGAAGGCAGCCACCTGCAAACCAAAGGGAGAGACCTCAGAAGTCAACCCTGCTGACACTCTGATCCCCAGACGTCCAGCCTCCAGAACCGGGAGAAACGGATTTCTGTTGGTTCAGCTCCGCGGTCTGCAGTGTTCCGCGGTGGCGGGCAGCCCTGGCCGGCAAAGACAACGCTGTACAGCTCCAGCCGCGAGAGCACTGCTGAGGGACAGACCGCTCAGCCGGCTGACGTCCGAACCAAGCTACGAAGCGCCAAGCCCGCAGAAGCGCACGCGCACGCGCACACGCACAGACAGACACGTGACGTGCTCACGCACCCACACGTACGGCTGCCATGATGGGATGCTCGGACCTTCCAAATGTCCAGTCCACCCTTTTGAAAGAAACAAACCAATTTTCAATAACCTTAGGGTGCTGGGAGTGGGCAGCCGGCCTTTATAAATTTCATATGAATGGTTTAGTTTTAAATACAAAAGTTAGGGGCGCCCGAGTCTTGATTTCCGCTCAGGGTCGTAAGGTCGAGCGCTGGTCGAGCTCTGCGCTGGGCTTGGAGCCTGCGGAAGATTCTCTCTCTTCCTCTCTCTCTGCCCCTGCCCCCCTTCTGAAAACAAACAAAATGTAACTCCTACAAAATGCTTGCTCAGTTTGACCTAACTAGTCACACTGGCAGATTTGAAGGTCCCGTTCCCCCTTGGGGCAATGGCTGTTGTAGCTCTAAGCTGGAAAGTGTGCCCTTCAGGGCACGGGGGAGCCCCATAAAGATGACTCGGACCCAAAGCCACATTGCCTATCATTGAGCTCATCTGTCTCTGAGAGCCTGGGACGTCCGTGGTACTGCTAGGACAATTCCCCATATCCCTTTGTAACCTGGTGTTTTTGTCATACTGAAGAGTTCCAGCCTGGAGGAAAGGCGCTAATTGAAGGCAGGTGGTTTCGACTCCATCAGGGAGGAAACTCATTTGATGACTTCCTACCTCTCTGTCAGTCAATCAACAGGCAAGTATTGGCAGCTAGCTGAATGCAGGACGCCAAGGTGGCGGTTGAAAAATAGAGAAATTCGAAGAAACAAATACCCCGCTGGCAACATCATGAATCAGCAACGGCAAGATCTGGGGCAAAAGCGACCCCTCCTTCCAGGCGATTTGAAGATGCAGCACGCCCTGCACAGATCCAGCTCTTCACTCCGTGCTGACGAGTTTATGGTTTCTCTTATTGTAACCTGTAATATTTCGGGTTTATTTCCCTCCCACTGGCTGCGAGGGAGTGCATTCTGATGGGCAATACCAGGGCGTTCAGCGCCGGCTCCCACCACCCCGCACAGGAGCATGCACCTACCCAGGCTAATTTCCAGCAGTGGCAGCAGGCTCAGATGGCTGCTCCATCCCTCCTTCCCATCTCTACAATTGCCACAAAACAGATACTTGAGTGCTTGACATTCCCTTTGAATTAAGGCTGCAAGTTAAGTGGGCATTTTCCCTTAGATGGCTACTCCAGGCCTCCCCACAGCTAATGATGCCCCAGAATGCAGATTTCACCTGTTCCTTTTATATGCACAACACTCGGCTTGAAATTTGCAAGTCCTCAATGAAGAAATAGCCCTGATTGCTCATTAAAAGCAAGGGAGAAAGCAATTAAAATACAAAAGGCAGAGCAAAGCTTAACACTTGGAAGTTGAAAGTTGAGCAAGCATTGTCAAAAGGTGGGGAGGCAATTTTAGAGTGTGGGAGCCCGAAAGAGGATCAAGGACCCTAGTCAAAGAAACCACACAGGAGAACAGATGCAAAGAGGAGAGAGAGCCAGAGCGGGCCTAGTGCTGAGCATTCTTTTTTTTTCATTTAATTTATATTCACTTAATTCACTGAAAGGAGCTGGGCATGAAATATTATTTCCTTTTTTTAAAAAAAAAGTCCCCTTCCTTTTTCTCTACAAAGCTCACTTTCAACAGACAAGGCAGCAGGCTTGGTGAGCACGTAGGCTGCACTGCTGAACAGGCCCCCCCTGCTTTGAGGGGCCACGCTTGGTTTCATGTCCTACTGTCACCATCTTGTACAGACTCATTTCCGAACAAGGGATCCTGCGTTTTCATTTTGCACTGGGCCCCACAAATTATGCAGCCACTTCCGCTGCTAGAATAAACGACTGTCCAACCCTGATTGTTCTTTCCAAACTCTTCCAGAACCCTGGGTGGGACAGGTCTGGCCCCTCCCAGCCCCACACTGCTCTTGTCAGATCTGTCACCAGACCTTCTGTTGGTGCCATTTGCCAGTAGGATCAGGGTTAACTTGAAAGAGGATCCACGATGTATTACAAATTAAAATAAGAATCCTGGATAGCATTTCCTGGGAGGATTTTTGGTGGGCCTGAAGTATTTGTGGGGAAGTGAGTCTCCCTTCAAATTGCTTTGCTCCTGGGTAAGCAGCAGAGAACTACTATCACCATAGAACCATTGTCCCAGGCAATGAAAATTTATCCTAGGTGTTAATTAGCTCAATATTTATCTCATCTAATATGCAAATTAAGACACTGCAGTCTCATTAGCGTCATCTGTGTTTCCTTTAAGCAAAACTCAATCTCTTGCCAATGTAAGAAAAAGAAAAAAAAAGCAAACATCAGTATTTCTCTTTGAAGCTAATGAGGGTGTGATTTGGCTCTTTCTTTGTTAGGAGGCAGCAAGTTAGGAAAAACACATTTTAAATATGCCAAGTGTGGCCTGACCTCATCTATCAGAGGCGAGAACACGGCCTTGACTGGTTATTAGGCTTTCTGCATCTAGCTTGTCCAAAGAACTGGGGCCTGAGGAGCCAGTGGTTGAGTTTGCAAGGAACCCCCATGAGGACATGGACCAAGAAAGGGGATGCAGCCTTCAGGAAGAGGCCACCTAGCAAACAGACGTGGTATTATCTCAATGAGAAGAGAGGTAAGAAATAACTTTACTTACACCAAATCTTAGAAAATGGTTCTCAAGTCGAAAAAGAACATAGAGATTTTAGCTCAAAATTTCTACTCCTTCCAGCTCCCCATTTTAAGATTTTAGAATTTAGACAAAGAATAAGCAGTCATCAAATACCCACATTGTGCCCCAAAAGGCAGGCTATGTGCTGATGACAACAAATGCTACAGAACGACAACGAACATCAGGAGCAACTTGAATGTTCTGGGCCTTCAGCAGGCTGCTGGGAATTCCATCTGCGTTAGCTCTAACCTTCGCAGTAACTCAGAAGAGCATCATTTCTCCTTGTCACAGATGATGACACTGTGGTTCAGGGTGGTTAGGTCACTTGTCCAAGATCATGCAGCTCAAAAGTAGCCAAGGTGGAATGAAAAGACAAAAGGAATATGACAGGCCACGGGGACCACGGCCTAAATAACATGGTGTCCTAAGCACAGTAATGGGGGAGGTGCCCGACTCTCTCACCTTGGAGGCTAATGCACGTCATGAATCCCTATATTCCGAGACCGCAGGCCCCAGTGTGGCTCCTTGCTATCCTCCCTTTCCTAATTTGACAAGTGATTCAAAATCTGTTTTGTGAACACCATCTGCTCCCGGGGGCAGGAGAGAGACCGGTTGGCATCCCAACATCTTCTGGCCGGAGCCTGAGAACTGAAAACCACTGCAAAGGCGGATGGAGGCCGATTTCCATATGTTGCAAATCGTGTCAGGTGTCACAGCCGTGGTGGGAGGAGAGCTCCCCGCCCGAACTGACCAGGGACAGGCAATGGAAGGCCGGGGAGCTGCCCTTGGCTCCCGGGGGAAATAGGAGAAAGAGCCATGACCTCCCTGTGACCCATGGCCCACGGATGACAGATTCCTGCAGAGCAACTTCACCTTGTCAGATCCAATGCCCGTGAGCTTGGCCTTCACGTTGAAGCCAAGCAACAGAGCAGAAGGGAAGGCAAGTGAATGTGGCTGGGCTGTGGGCGAGCTGCGGGGACGGCTGCCATTTTAACCGGTGTCTCCACTGGGCCATCAGAAAACTGCAGGGACATATGCTCCAAATCTCTGGAGATACTTACACTCTTCTACTGGAACTTCCAGAAGATGCTTCTGATCTGTCCAAGTGTTTCTCCTTCCATCACTGCCTCTGAGCCCCTCAAACAGGCAGAAATGGATAGCCCCACTTGACAGATAGGAATACTGGGGCACCAAAAGGCCAAGTGGCCTGCTGAGGCAAGACAGCCAAGTAGCTTGGGAAAGAACCTGTTTCTGAACTGTCTCCTCTGTTCGGGTTCCCATGCTGGGGGGGTGACCACAATGGGCTTTCTCCTAGCATTGCCGCAAATGCCCACTGGAAGTAGGTATTGCCATCCCCATTTTAGGGA